TCCCTCCAGCCCCGTCTCCCTTGTTGTCAGCCCTCTGTGCTCTCCTGGGTCTTTCTACCTCACTGGGTGCCCCGCCCTCATTCTCTTTCTCCTATGCCTGCTCTCCCACACTTTCTGGACTCTGCTGTTGTGTCCTAGGGACCATCCTTTCGACTCTTTACCTAACTCACTCCCCGGATAATCCTACCTAGCCTCGTATATGCTGATGACTTTCAAAATTAAATGTGCAGGTTGTCCTCGGAGTCCCACATCTCCACGTGGACGTCTGTCTGGCATCTCAGATGCAGCATGAGCAACCGAAGCCTCCCCGTCCCCACCTCCTCGTGGATTCAGTTTCTTTCAGCGTCTTTCTCAGCTTAGTGGGCAGTACCTCTGCCTTCCCAGTTATTCAAATCAAAAATGTTGACGTCATTCTTTGTACCTCTGTTTCTTTCACCACTCACATCCAACTCGTGAGAAAATCGTACTGTTTGTACCCCCAGAATAACTATGGAATCCAACCACTTCACATCATTCCTGCTGCCCCCACCCAAAGCCAAACATGGTCATCTTTGGCTATTACAATAGCGCATTAACTCTGGTAAGTTTATTCCTAGAACTTTGATCCTATCCGTTTTTTTCCCCATCTCCACAGCCAAAATGGTTCTGGTAAAATTTAAGTAAGATCATGTTACTTCCTTGTTAACATGCTTCTAAGCCTCCTACTTTCACTCAGAATAAAAACCAAGTTCTCACGATGACCTATCGAGCCAAAAAGAAACTGTCCAAGCCCCATTAATCCTCAGATCTCATCTTCTCTTGTGTAAGTCAAGACAAGTAGTAATATTGCAGCTCTCATGTACTTCATGAATAAATTAATGTTTGGAGGACTTAAGTGACTTGTGGGTGGTCACATGGTGGTCCACCTGAACTTGAGTTGTAACTGTACCAGCCACACATGTAACCTCCACACACCCTGTCTCCAAACTTTAGTGGTAAAGTCATGGCAAATGACATGTGTTCGTTAGTTCAGCAGGGCCTCTGCAGACCCTGTGGGGTGAAACATGCATTGTCCTGAGTACATGGGACTGGACACTGGGGCCCTGTGATGAGGGTGAGACGCGTACCGTCCTACCTGAGTACATGTAACTGGACACCAGGGCTCTGTGATGAGGGTGAGACGCGTACCGTCCTACCTGAGTACGTGTGACTGGACACTGGGGCCCTGTGATGAGGGTGAGATGTGCACCGTCCTACCTGAGTATGTATGACTGGACACCGGGGCTCTCTGATGAGGGTGAGACATGCACCATCCTACCTGAGTACATGTAACTGGACACCAGGGCTCTGTGATGAGGGTGAGACGTGCACCGTCCTACCTGAGTACGTGTGACTGGACACTGGGGCCCTGTGATGAGGGTGAGACATGCACCATCCTACCTGAGTACATGTAACTGGACACCGGGGCTCTGTGATGAGGGTGAGACGTGCACCGTCCTACCTGAGTACGTGTGACTGGATACTGGGGCCCTGTGATGAGGGTGAGATGTGCACCGTCCTACCTGAGTACGTGTGACTGGACACCAGGGCTCTGTGATGAGGGTGAGACATGCACCATCCTACCTGAGTACGTGTGACTGGACAGCATATTTGTCAAATTTGCATTCGGTAGAACAGAGGATCCATACTGGGAAGGAACACAAAAGTGTCTGGGGTCAGGTGGAGCCACAATGGAAGGCAATAGATCTCTAGGGAAAAAAAGATAAAAAGTAGGTACAATGAGGCTGCAGTTTAATAAAATTTCCATTGTTTTGACAGTGAGGTTTTTTTTGACTGTCATATGGGAGGCTATCATTTTTTCCTAAAATGAAGTAGAAAAGTCCTGATACTCTCTATGGTGAGCCTAGGAGGGGAACTCTACTGTGGAAGGAGTGATCCTCTAACAACAAGACAGGGACGCAGGAAAAGGAAGTTTTAGGAGGGATGTCTTGAAAAAGATGTAATCAAACCTATCAGAATCTCTGATTTTCATGACCAAAGTTCTGCTTTGCGTGCAAATTCTTTTCTCATTAATGGACATGCTTTGGTTGGGTCTGTCATCTGGACTTGATGTTTGACTACCTGTGTGGACAAATTATTTACTTTGCCAAACTTCAGTGGTCTCTAGACATCCAAATCTATTGTTCACATGCCATAAATAAGAAATAGTGAGTCTTATTTTCTCCCCAGAATGTAAAAATATTCTAAGGAAGGGAAGATAGGATACTGTCAAAGTTTCAACTAAAGTACTTTCAATTTCATTTTTATTAAAAAGAAAAAAAACCAGTTCTATCATAGGAAAACCAGGACACCCAACTATTATGGATGTAAGTAACTATTTCCCCCTCAAATTCCTAAGTTGAAGCCTTACCCTCCAGTGTGACTGTATTTGGAGATAAGGTCTTTAAGCAAACAGTGAAGACTAAATGATATTTTAAGGCTGGGCTTCTAAGCTGATAGGACTGTTTTTTTTTTTTTTTTAAATAGAGACCCTGTTGCCCAGACTGGACTGCAGTTGGCATCATCATAGCTCACATCTAGCTCCAATGCTCAAGTGGTCCTCCTTCCTCAGCCTCCCAAGTAGCTAAGATTACAGGCACAAGCCACTATACCTGGCTAATTTAAAAACTTTTTGTAGAGCCAAGGTCTTACTATGTTGCTCAGGCTGATTTCAAACTCCTAGGCTCAAGTGAGCCTCCTGCCTCAGCCTCCCAAAGTGCTAGGATTGTGGACATGAGCCACTGTTCCTGGCCAGTATTTTTTTTTAAGAAGGGGAAGAGATGTCAGAAATTTCTCTCTCTTTCTCTCTGCAAATGCTTGCCAAGGAAAGACCATCATCTGTCTGTGAGCCAAAACAGAGGCTTCCCTAGAAACCAGGCCTGCAGCACCTCAGTCTCAGGCTTACACAGCCCCCAGACCCGGACAAATGACTTTCTGTCATGTAAGCCAGCCAGTCTGCTGTGTTTCATCACTGTAGCTACAGAGGATGAACACACCAGCCCTGGCACCTAGTGAGTGCCCACTGCATGGCAGGCGATCCTTAAGCAGGTGCTGAGTGAGGTCAGCAGACCCCCCCAGGAGGTGAGCACAGCCATCCTGCTCGTGAGGGCACAGAGCACCTTGCCTTGAATCAGTGGACTGCAGTTTATGGAGATAACATTACAGCACAAAATGACACTGTGGCCAACAGCATTCCCAAACTCCTATTACCCATTTTCTCCTCTGAACCATGATATTGCCCAGAATACCTGTCCACAGTTGGAGGTCCAAATGGTGAGGGGACCAGCGGGATCCTCTGCTGCCCTGCCGCTGCCAACCAAGGGCTCACAGCCATCACGGGGCTTGTCATCAGCATCTCTCGCCACTGATGAAGTTCTACAAAGAACCAGGGAGACACATGAACAAATAACTCTACTTTTTGTGAACTATTTGAATTCTTCTTGAACACGATGAAAGTCCTGTGTATTTTCCTCATGGTCCGGAAGACGAGCTGCCCTGGCTTTTAGTCTTGCAAAGGCCCCAGTGTGACTGTAGAGCTCGGTGAGCTGTCAGCATGAGCCCGAGGACCCTGCTGCGGTCCAGGTAACACCGTGACACCGCCGCACTGCAAGCACCAGCAGCATTAAACCAGCCTTGTGAGATTCCAGAAATACCAACTTCTTTCCTTACAGCTTATTTTGATTTCCAGAGGGACAAATGGATTAATTCTCCCATATATGCATTCAATCTTTGAAAAATATTTCTATTTAGTTGGTAAGATTAAAATATAAAATGGAGGAGGGAAAATCTTCCTACTGGCTAAAAATATATCTAATTAGAGGGCATACAGGCTGACTGCATGAGAATGTACTTACTTAGAACAAGTGACCAAATGATGTCCTAACCTACATAAGCATACGAATTCATATGCTTTATCATCAGAACTTAGTGGTTAGGAAAAGCGATTATATTGTTAAAGGGATAATATTTTGCCTTACATTTTCTTAATTATTAACAGCCTTTGAATAATTTTAAATATTGAACAAGTACTAGCCAAACGGGCGGTTTTAGTTTCCCCTTCATTCTTAATTTTTACTTAAAAAAATATGAGATACCTATCTGTGTTTTGATGGAAAGAAAATTAGGAAGGAACGTTCTGTGCTTCCAAGTACAGATCTTCCTTTCTTTCTTTTTTTCCTTCCTTGTGTGTATATTTGATTTAATTTTTAAAATAGTTAATTCATTATTATGGTTCAAAAGCTAAAGACATAATGCTGTCTAAACATGCAGCTACTTCTCTAGCTGCTTTTCCAGACCTAACCCCACTGGCCGAATTGGATCGAGTCCGTAAGTTCTCCAGCTCCGTCGTTTCCACTGCACTGCTGCAGGTCAGAGGAATTTTCTCCCTGACGGTGGCCTCAGAGTCTGGCCAGCCTAGGCACAGTCAGGATTAGCTGCTGTAAGCCGCGGGTCACCAACAAAGACCACAGGCTGGGTCAGCTGTGGGCTGGTCTTGCCATGTAGTGGGGACATGGCCATGGCTGCCGTCTCAGGTGCTCAGATCTGGGTGCACAGCCACCTTCTTCTCCTCGACCACCGCACAGCAGAGCAGAGTGGGACACAGCTTGACGTTTCATTTCAAAAAACTGTTGAACTTTGATTGTGTTGTGAATTGATGGTCTCTAGCAAGAGTCTGAAATGAGTGGCATAGAGGTTGTAAGGTGAGTGCTGTAGGGGCTATGACATGTGGTTTTATTCATCTGGCATAAAAGAAACTTCACATCCATTGAACTAACCCCACCTCCCCCATCCCACTTCTCTGGCAACTGCTGTCCTATTCTCTGCTTCTGTGAATCTGACTATTCAGATACCTCCTGGGAGCAGAAATGTGCAGTGTTTGACCTGCAGTACCTGGCTTGCCACTCAGTGAAATGTCCTCCAGGGTCATCCACTGGGTACTTCAAAATTTGTTAAGAGAGAGATCTCATGTTAAGTGTTTTTACCACAAAAACAAGCAAACAAAAAGGAAGCTTTGGAAGTAGTGGGTGTGTTACTACCCCGTGTGTGCCAATGTCCAAACCCATCAAATTCGACATGTTAAGGATGTGTAATTCTCTCATATAAATTATTCCTCAATAAGGCTGTTTAAAAATATACAATGTGTTTGGGGGCAAGACACGATTGTAAGAGGGACTTTACCTAACAAATGCAATCAGTGAAACCTGGTTTCTTGTACCTTCAATGAATCCCCAACAATAAATTTAAACATACATATATATACATACATATATATATATACAACGTGCAGCTTGCATTCTGTGTATTGTTGGCGACAAGTCAAAGGGAAGGAGATAAAACGGAAAGGAGAAAAGGGAGCGGAGGGGATGTCCTTAGAAGCTGATTCTTTCTCCTCACCCTGTCACCTTCGGGAAAAGCCATGGAGGCAAGTCACCAACAGTATGAGACTCTGCCACTTTGGGAACCCCAAATAGTTTATTTGGAAGGCGATTCTAGGAAGCTCTAGGAATAGGGAAGTAAGACCAGGAAGGGAAGATCCAGCAGGGGTGAGTTAAGGTGCCTGTTGTCCTTGTGGGCACCTGGCGCCATCCCTACCCGAGACCCTCCGAGAAACCTTGTGGTTTGTGTCCCAGAATTGTCTTTGTGAGGGGCAAAGAGTTGGCCAGTTACCCCTCAATTTCTGTTGGCTGCTGACTGTGAGCACAGTTCTCTGCTGCATCTGGGTTGTGGTGGATCTGGATGCAGTGAGTTCCTGTGGTGCCAAGAAAAACTTCTGACTGAGAAATGGAGATGCAGGTGCTTGAGATGGGAAAGGACCTCCCTGGTTGCTGGGAGCTCAGAGGCAGGCCAGGGGGGTGCAAGGTGGGGCAGGACAGCACGGAGAGCTGCAGAGGCAACGTGCTCACCTTCTAACGTCATTCCACTCGGGAAGTGGCACAAGTGCCTTTCTTCTGAAGAACCGGGTTCCCCAGGCATCAGCATATTTCCGCGAGGCTCTGAAGGGTTCATTGTCTGCAACGGCACAGCGGGAGTTTTTTCACCATTAGTCACAAGTTCAGTGAAATAAGTGAGGAACTCAATGCTATCAGACCAATGGGAAAGGAGGCATCAGAGCAAGGCTCATCTAATTGCCAGCAAAGTCATCCTGGAACCATGTCTGTTCTTAATTCCATCATCCTTTGGTCTGCCTTTGTTTCTTTTTATAACGCCAGAAAGGTAGAACCTGATTTATAAAATTTTGCTATATGTGGGATATGGTGGTTTGTGGTTTTTAATCAATCCACCAAGCTTTCATCAGAAGAGTCAGCTGTTTCCAGTATCTACAGAAATGTCTGTATGTCATGGAGGTGGGGTGGGGGGTGCAGTGAGCCTCTGACATCTGTAACTCCTCCCTGCCACAGGTCTGGGCTCCACTTGGCTTCCCTTGTTCTTATTCTGGTATTTGTGAACTCTATTTATTTGTCACTATCGTATCTATTGGTACCCAGATTTTCTTTAAAAAGTTACCTTGCTTCATGTGATGCCCATTATCATTTGCGTGCTTCAAATTGCAAATCACACACTGTAGGCTCACCATCTACCCCCAGTGCACATGAACAGCCCCCACCCGGACATCCTGGCCCAGAGGGTGTATGTGGGATGTCCACATGTTATTCCTGCCCAAAGTCCACACAGAGGAGTTTCACTGCCCTAAACCAGGTTGTATCTTTGATTTAAATCAAATATAATCAGCACTTTCAAGGCAATGTTCTGAGGTTGACCAGATCTCTCCCTGCATCAGCTTGGTGGATACTTGAAACTCCAAATGTGTGTTGCTCTAAAACCATCACTCTGGGGGGACAATCAACCTGTGAGCCATAAAATATTAACCTGCACGTTTTTGGGGAATCTGCTTCTATTTTAGACACATGTGAACAAACTGAGCTATAGTCACTTTGCCATAGCAGATGGAACGCTCCTGAGTAAAAGTGCAGCCTGGTGTGTACATTTAAGGGCCGAGCTTGTCCAGTAATCCTGGAGTGGGAGAGTGTGGTGTGCTCAGGTCTGCATTCAGGCTGGATTTCTGTGACCCAGAGCTCTAATCCTGGACGCCCAGCACATTAGGAGGATGAGGACCCCTTAATCTGGGTCTTCAGACTCTTACCCTCAACAAACTCCTCCAGGCAGCACATAGACGATTTAGCTAGTGCTAATTCTGTCTCAACTGATTAGGGCAGTCACAGTAAGATATGGACGCCATGCACTAAAGCCCTCGCTGAGTCAGCGGATACTTCCTGAGCTCCTGTCCAGCGCCAGCAGCCCAGGGCCTCTCAGTGGTTGTGCTGGGACGACCCAGTGCACCTGAATTTAGCAAACCCTGGATCATACATATAAAAAATGTTTGTCGCATATATGGTGCATGTGTCCTGGGGTTCTATGCATTAAAATGAATTAATTTTTAAATAACTGTTGTATCTGGTAAGTTTTCGTCTTTGAAAAGTAGATCATTAGAATTAAAATCTCCACAATTCTGGGAAAAATAAATATAAATTCTTAAATTAAAATTTAAGATGGAGAAGATGTTCTTAAAGGTCTTCTATTTAAGGATAAAATAGGGCTAAGTAGCTGCCCATGTTCAATGAGTTAGGCGTCTTGTGTTAATGTGAGTTCTGCACAGAATACTAACACTAAAGGATAATTCACATTTCCTTAAGTATTTTTTCAGTTTTTTAAACTAATAAATTGGAAATCTTAGGCAAACTGTTACAGCAGCCTAAAAGCATTTCATTATCAAATACTTCTAGCAGTAAAACTTAGCTGAGAAAATAGAGATTGTGCTAATTTCTCGTAGCTATAGTTAGAAGTGTGAAGAGTCTACTTTTATATCCAATAAGAGAAAGTTTGCAAAAATAATTGTATAAAATATTGCATACAATAAAAATAATTATGTTGACATTCCAAATATATTTGTTAATTGAAATAAAGTTTAAGGGGCGGCGCCTGTGGCTCAAAGAGTAGGGTGCCAGCCCCATATACCAGAGGTGGTGGGTTCAAACCCGGCCTTGGCCAAAAACTGCAAAAAAAAAAAAAAAAAAAGAAAGTTTAAAGTAAATTAGATAAATACATTGGCATAAAATATTTGACTATGTCTAGCTGTAAATAAACATCTTCTAGATGATTACAAAGAAATTCTGAAGTTAGCCCAAACTCTTATTTCAAGCACGTGAAACCGTTACATTTATGAAATCTTCAGTTCAAACCTGCATTGTGGCCATTTGTACTAAGACAAATGGCATTGCCATTAAAGGTCTGGGTGGCAAATGCCCCCTTCTGCCCTGTCCTACATCCCCAGTGCTC